AAAGAGAAAGAAGAAAGATACTTAAAATTAAAAGAAAGAGATTTAAAATCGAGAGAGAGAGAAGAAAGAGACTTAAGATATTAGTACTTCAATTGAGTTAATTGTATTTGATTAATAAAGAAGTTACAATCTTCAATTTAGAACAGTGATGATTATATTTAATTAAGTACGTTTTTAATTGTAATTAATAGATAATGGTTAATTCGTAAAACACAATGATTTTACCTTAGTTATGGTTGAGTGCTTTCAATTGTTATCAAGTACAATTAAATTTAAAAGTTCAATAATGTTACCTTTAATTATGGTTGAGTGCTTTCAATTGTTATTAAATGCAATTAAGTTCAAAAGGTTCAATGGTTTTACCTTTAATTATGATTGAGTGCGCTCAATTGTTAGAAGTTCAATTCAATTAGATTCAATCCAATTCAATTGTTTAAGTAATTATACCTTGATTATAGTTGAATAGTTTCTATTGTTATCCAAGGTTCAATAAGTACACTTTAATTACGAGTAAATAATTTCTATTGTTATCCAAGGTTCAATAAGTACACTTTAATTACGGTTGAATAATTTCTATTGTTATCTATTGTTATCTATTTAGTATTTATGTAGGTGAAATGATTTGTATTCTAATTATAATCTAGTTATATTCTATACTAACGCTGAATCACTTTTTATCATTAATTAGGGATTTATATTAATAAACAATGTTTTTAAGTTAATTCAAGAAATTAATGAACCAAGGTTTTCCTGTAGATCTCTATTCGAATGTGGGATGAATGTTCATTCATGTGACCTAAGATTCAAGTCATTCATAGATAAACAAAATAGAATTATGGATAAAATGGTTAAGGCTGTACTTAAGGTCATTTTATTCAGACAAAACCTAAAGTAGAACATTCATTTGTTTAGCTTTATTCAACTGAAATCAAAATTGGGACATTTATTTAGTCAACCCGTTAAAATTATTTAAGTGTTTAATTGAAATCCAAATCAGGGTTGGAACATTAATCCATTGAACTTTATTTGGGTCTTTTTATTGAATTTAGGTCAATTTAAATTGAATGTATTGAACGTAAATTTTAATACGATTGAGGTTATTCAATTATAAAAATTGCAGCAACAATGGTTTCTTTTATTCGCCCTTTTATTTTATGAATGGTTTGTTTGTAATCATCTGATTATAGATTAATTGTCTTAATTCTGAAATTAGTTTATCAGTTAATTTATTTTAAATGAATTTTCAGTTACGATGATTGAGTCAATCTTTATCAAGATAAAAAATGAGTTAACCTAATTCAAATTGAAGTAATAAGTTTATTTCGTTCCTGGATAAAAATTTGATTGAGAGTTGACTCATTATTCATATTTAAAGGTTATTTTAACTTTATTTTAATTGAGGATAATCAATTTAATCTTTATTCAGAGTAAAATTGATCTTACCTGGATTGGAATTTACTTAGTGTTTTTTGGTCAAACTCTGGCATAATATGATTTAAATATAATTGAGATTAATCTTTGAATACTTATCTTTATCTTTTATATGACCAATGAGTCCAAGCGAGTGGGTAACTTTGGATTCCTTTCCTTGTATTGTTTATAAAATCAGGTAGGAGATGATTGCCTTTACCTTCAGCTTAACACAATTTAAATGAATTCACTTATACCTATTTCCAATAGATAATAGAAAGGTTCACTTCACCTTTTCCAAAGGCTTCAAATATCTTTTTAATAATTTTTAATAGATTAGAACATAAGGTAACAGAATTTTACCACATATTTCACAACACTTCATAAATGACAAATATTACTGATTATTTATTACAATTTCACTAATTTAAAGTTGCTTATTTGATCCCCGTAAGGGTGCCAATGATGGAACGATGTAACAAAAATTAAATGAACTTTTAATAAAAACAACTTGGGTTACCTAGGTTACTCAACCTTACCCCGCTTTTCCATAAGGAAAATGGCCAAAAAACGGCCATTATATTGGTGATGAAGGAGATTTTCTTCTCCCTCATCTCCTTCATCTTCAACAAAAAATCATCCAATCAGATTAACCAGGTACCACGTGAGAGGTGGTACCTGGTTAAACAAAGAGAACTGGTTGTAAGACCAGTTTTGTTACACATGTAAATTAAAAGGGGTTGAATTCTTTTCGTTAAAAGCACAATTTGTATATTAATTAGTTAATCTTTAAAGTTATAATGCAACCCTTAGTCTTCACTGACTATTCGATTAAAACACAAGACGTAACCATTGGCTATTTAGTTCTATGTAACGGGTCAAATAAGGTATTCACTGGCTCTTTGTTTGACTGGGACAAGTTAGACTAACAATTATAAGGTCTTCACTGAACTTTATACACAGTTTATCATATGTTGTTTAAAATTATTTAATTAACTTAATAACTAGAAAATTGAAAAATAAAACAATATTGATGAAAGCGGTAAAGATTTGACTTTGGTTGATCTTCACTAATCGAAACCAAAGTCATTAGTTGATCTTCACTGATATAACTAACTACAACCACTAATTAACAAAATCTATGGTTTTATAAAGGAAAATGAAATTATCGCTAGTGGAATCCAATTGAAGAGGTTTGTTTTTTCTGTTGAGATTTTAGCAATCAATTGATGTTGTATAATATTACAACATTCGGTATACACTTAAGCTAGCGAGAAGCAAGTGCTTCTAGCTCGTTCAATTGCAAACCAGCCTAATTCCTTGATAAACTCCATCGTAGCCTTGGCTTTATGGAATTTCTCATTGCCTTGGAAAAAATTGGTTTCTGGTTCCGCAGTTAGGTTAGGTTAGGTACAACATTAACTGTTGTACCTTGAGGAAGACAAAAAGTAGTGATTTTACCATCTGCTGACCAAAAAACACAAGCCATAATCTTTGGGTCTCTTTTGTCGCTAGTTGACAGTTCTTTCGGGTGAGACAATCACTCTAGCTTTTTTTCTTAATTGGGTTATACATGGGATTAGAAAATGAATTTTGGTAAGGTCCAAGATGTTGTGGTAAAGGAAGAGCCTCTTCCTTTTCTCCCCCTTAGCAAATAGAATATAAAAAATTCAAAAATATGAGTGTAGTTGATACTCGGTGAAAGAAAGTCAATTTTCAATAAAATGATAAAAGTCCGAATTAAACTTAATTGATTACTATGATGATTAAATTAGTGATAGAAGTTAATTTTATACTTTATGAATTTACAATAACAATGGAGATGAAGATGAAGATGCAGATGGAGACGAAGATGAAGATAATTAAGTTCATTAAGAACTTTACAAATTTAGATGGAAAAATATTAAATGATAAGAATAAAGAGATTAAGTGTTAATATTCAAAAAATTTCAATCAATTTTTTGTTTAGTTATCGTAACAATCAAGTTCAACCCTTTCAATTATGTTAATTCAAATTGTCGACCTCGAACCTACAAATTTAGCCTCAAAAATTAGTACCGAGGGTGAAAATTTCGATGGTGCTGCTTTTTATCAGAAAGTTGTTTTGAATGTGAAGGTAAAATGGTACCAACTAAATCCAAACAAATGAAACTCGGATACTCTTTTCGGTGTAATAAATGTCGAAAAAGTTTATCTTCGACACACAAAACTTGGTTCGAAGGAAAAAAAATCAGGTTTAATTGATTGTTTAATTTTAATTTTCTATTGGTGTTTTCATTTCGGTGTCAAACAAGTATAAATTCTAAGTGAAAATACTGTTGTTATTTTGATTCTATTTGTAAGGTGTGTTTTGATGCTGTTGTCAATAGTGGTGAAAAAACCGGTGTTGTTGAAACGATTGAGGATGAAGAGACGCATCTTTACACCTGAAAATATCACAAGGGTCGTTTATCATGTACCGAAAAGGAATAAATTCGGTTCGTTGGAGGTATTCAAAGGAGCACTAAGAAATTATTTGTAGTTCTTACAAAAAGAGAAGCAAAGTTCAACTAAATCCAATAATCAAACAGTGGGTCGAAAAAGAAACATCAATAAGCACGGATGGATGGAGAGGATACAACGATTTAGCCTCATTAGGTTACGAACACTGTGTTGTCAATCATAAAAAAAATTACGTTGACCCAATAAGGAAAGGAGTTCATAAACAATGAGTTGAGAATCTTTGGAAATTAATTAAAGATATTGTTTCTAAATCAGCCAATGGAAAGATGCGAGTTGATCATTTTTTCGAAGAAATTTATCGAATCAACTATTTGCGAGGTCTCAATATCACCGAAAAGTTTATCAAGATATTTAACTTAATTTCTACATGGTAGCATGGCCAGTTCTGTTCTCAACCCTATTCTCCATCTTCATCTTTGTCTTCATCTCAATCATCATCTACAGATTCATCGCAGTAATTATTAGTTATAGTGAAAATTAACTTAATCATCAATTTGATCATCTTAATCACTAAGTTTTAATTAAACTTAATCATTTAATCATCTTCATAACCATAACAATCAACAAACTAATCACAATCACTACCACTAAGTTCAAATACGACTTGTTCATTAATTAATAAATTATCATTTTAGTCAGTGTTGATTTACCTTCACTTATATTTTTGAATTTTTTTATATTCTAGTTGGTAAGGGGGAAGGGGAAAAGGAAGCCTCCTTGCCTTCTTTACCACAACATCTTGGTCCTTACCGAATTTTCTTTTTCTGTAGATACTAAAAAGTTTAATGGAAACCCTCGAGGCCTTAAATTTGTGTGAAAGTATCAAATTGAATCATTAATGGTCGAAACATTCATTCAGTTTAATTAATAAGACTTTCGAAATTTTTGCGCCAAAAAGATTCTTCGAAAATTTTTGATCCAGTCATCTTATTATTAACTAAAATTAACAGTATAGAAATTATCTTACACCTTGTGTAACCTTGGAAAGGATCGAGTTTAATTTCAAGTTTAGTGATGAGAAAACTTTTTTTTGGAACCTGAAACTTGAAATCAAGTTTTTGAAGAGAATTTCGACTTGCCGGTAAAGTTTATTCTCTTAACTTGGTCACTATTCTCTGATCACAGAAGTGATGGCTTCAATTCGTAATTGCTTTATTCTTCTGTCGCTGAATTTACTCTACCTAAACCATATACAGTCTTTATCATGTTCAAAAAAACTCGAGTAAGTGAAAGATATGATTTTATCTCATCTGAGTTTCGAAATCCTATTTTCATTGAAAAATAGTATCTAATCAATAATTATACAATTTTTTCTTATCCAGTGCTAAACAATCAATTGAAAACTGCGATCAAAGTTTGAACATTACTAAGTTGAGGTTTCTACAAAGAACCAATCCATTTGATTTATTAAACCCGAAATTGCAAAAGACGTCGAAACCCGAATCCATAAATGTAAGTAATAGAAAAGTTTTCCACTATGTTAAATAAACAGAACTTAAATGTTTCGCTTTCATTTTTTGATAAAGAAATCGAAAAATGATACACAATCATGCAATTCGGGCCTCAGTGGATCTTCTTGTCGTGATGAACGTAAAGTTGAATCAGGTCGGTTTTATTCTGATGCTAATATTGCTGATGGTAAATCTAATGGCAAGTGTGGTGGTGTTTTGAATTCACCAAACGGAATTGTGACCTCGCCGAATTATCCTAATCCATTCAATGTTCCTGGTGAATGTCTTTGGAAGATTAAAACATCAGATGGATCTCGTTTGGTTGTTAATCTAACTGATTTGGAATTAGATTCTTCTCTTAATTGTACTCAAAATGTGTTAATCATTTACGATGGACCAACTGATCAAGACTCTCAACTATTAGTTGCTTGCAATCAGAAACAGCTTGATAATAATTTAATTACTTCAAGAGGCAACGAGTTGACAATCAAGTTGATCACAAATGAATCAACAAGTTATGTCAAAGGTTTTAAATTTTCTTATCAAACTGATTGTAATAATTTCATCGAAGGTATCAGTGGATCGATAGAGAGTCCAATCAACCAGAGCTCAAAGAGTCTTAATTGCTCTTGGACAATTAATGTACCAAAAGGAAACAATATAAGTTTGGTTATTGAAAAGTTTAAATCAGTTGATTCATCATGTTCATCAAGTTACTTATCATTTATTGGTAATCAATCAACTAAAACATTCTGTCAATCAGTTGATTACACAGATTTCGGTCCAATTTTAATCACTGAAAATCAAGTACAGGTTAACTTTGTTAATCTTAATCCTGATAATCAATCATATTTCCGATTAGAGTGGAAACTAGTTGGATGTGGAGGTGACATTCATGAAAGTGAAGGTGAATTGTTCTCTCCAAATTATCCAGATTCTTATCCAAATGGACTTAATTGTCTGTGGACTATTCATGGTAAACCAAGTGATATCATCAAAATCTTCATAAATGAATATCATATTGAGGAAGGTGACTCATTGCAGATATTTGATGGACCGAGCACAAGGTCACATCGCCTTGTTTACTTAGCTGGTCGTCTCCTAAAGAGATTGAAAATCACGTCAATCAGAAATCAAGTTACGATATTTTTTCAAGTCGATGATATGTTCAATGGAAAAGGACTTAGATTATTTTTTTCGACTACAACAAATGACTGTCATATTATCTATCCGTCAACTGAGAGTTCAATTTCATCACCTAGTTATCCGAATCGATTTTCTGGACCGATCAATTGTAATTGGTATCCACAAGACGATTTCAGGAATACATTCATCCAAATTACGTTTGAAGATCTCGATATACCCTGGTCAGTCAATTGTACTGAACACTATGTGAGTCTTTTGAATATGCGAGGTTTGGAACTTGATCGATTCTGTGGTAACTCATTATCAAATACTTCATTTAGATCTATTTTCGATAATGCAATAAAAATTGTATACTTTTCAAAAAGCTGGCACAAAGGACGAGGTTTTAAGGCCAATATTCAGCCAATCTGGCACTCAAAAGAGTACATTTATGGTTCTTTAACGGAACTGAGTCATTCTGCTCATCAACCGAAATCAGAAAATGATGAAAACTTTTTGTGTATCTATGACTTTGTTTCCATTGGCTCGTTCAACAAGAGCCTTTTAACGTTTGTCGATTTTGCTATAAAATCGCAATCTGGAAGTTACATAGAGTTGAAAGACGAAGGCTCGAATTATCCAACAAGAACCATTCGATACAATAGCTCTTCTTCTGTGTTACCATCTCACATTTTAGGTAAATCATTTAAGGTCTCTGTTAGAGGTCATGTTTTGTTCAAAGTTTTGTACTCTCAGTATGTTGATTCATGTTCATATGAACTAAACAGTTGGGAAGGAACATTTAGTTCACCAGAATATCCAAACGATTATCCTCCTTCTAGAACTTGTGTTTGGAAAATTAATCTTGCTCCAGGTAATTTTATCTCATTGAAGTTTCATTCATTTGATATTCAATATGATCAATTCTGTGCTTTGGATCATTTGGAGATTCGAGAAGAAAATGAATCAGGTAAACTCATTGGACGATTTTGTGGATCAAATTTACCTCAATTAAACTCGACTCAATATTATCCAAGTTTATGGATTAGATTTAAATCTCATGCTAATGGTTCAGCTTCTGGATTCAAAGCTTCATACAAAACAATCAAAGATGTGAAAATTAACTCTTATTCTGGTAAAATTGGATCATTTGCTTATCCGAGATTATTTTCATCGGAAAACAATCAAAGTTGGATAATTAAGACCAGTAACTTTAATAAGATTAAGTTTAAATTGGAATCAATTGATATTCTTGATGATTCGTTCGACAGCTCATGTACTAATTCAAGTGTCACAATTTATGATGGTCCATCAGTGAACAGCTCGATTCTCGGTCAGTTTTGTGGTTATCGTACTGGTGACCTTCCAATTTATACAACTTCTTCAATCGCATATGTACATTTCAAGCCGAACTTTTACATTTCTAGGTTCTTGTTGAGCTGGACATCGTTCCAAAGTGACATTGCACCTCCACTTATTGCTGATTTTAATCACCCATGTAAATACACTGCGAATCTTAAAATGAACCAAAATACATCGTTACTTTCAAGTTTTTATCCAGATGGTGTCAATTGTAGTTGGACCATTTCAAGTCCCATTGGAACTCAATTACAAGTCGAAATTAATGAGATGGACGTTAAGTCCTCGTCACATGAAAATTGTACTAATAAGAACGGAGTCTCTTTTTATGATTATAGTTTCGACCATCAAAAAGCTTGGAAAATCAATAGAATAGTCTGCGATTCAAAAGATAAATTGTTCACTCTCCAGGGCAATCAATCGTTGATCACATTCTTCAACTATAGCGGCTCATCAACCAACCTAAAAGGGTTCAACATAACAGTGAGACCGATTTGTGGTGGTACATTTTATGGACCAACGGGTAATATTGATTCATCTTTACTTGCACCATTCGAAACTTGTTCATGGGCAATCATTGTACCAAAAGGTCAACGAGTTGAAATTAAATTCAAATCTTTTAACTTGGGTTCGTATGACGACCATTGTTCTAATGGTTATTTAAGTATTCGCAATGATGACTCACCTAACTCTCGATTCATTGGACACTATTGTGGGTCTAACTTACCTAAGAAAATAATATCAGCTTCAAATCAACTTTTCATATCTACTTATGTTCCTGCATCAGAACAATTTGTAAGTCGACAATCTAAACTATGTACTTGATAACAATTTATTATTTCATGAATCGATTTTATCTCTTTCAGGAATTTTCTTTGACTTATCGACAAGTCTCAACTCCTTGTGAATTTTATGTCGAACTAAACCAATCAAGTCCATCGGCTATACTTCAGCTCCCTGGATACCCTCACCCTCCTGTCGAATATTCTGAGTGTGATTGGGTCATTAAAGCTCCAATCAACAGAGTTATTAGAATTGATTTCGAAATACCAGATCACGATGTTGGATGCAATTTAAATACGACTCATATTGATATTCACGATGGTTCTACTCAAGTTGCTCCTAAACTTGGTCGATTCTGTCCAATAGCTCGAACAACAAGTGTCATTTCATCAGATAATCGGATGTTCATTCACTTTCTTTCTAAAGGAGGGACTGGTTCTAGTTCGTTCAAGGCAACAGTAAATCTTCATATTTGCGGTGGTAATTTTGTTGTCAATGGGACAACTGGAATCCAAAGCTCGTCTTATCCCAAGCATTATGCAGCTAACATGATCTGCAATTACAGCATTTATTCAGCAAAAATGTCTGAGATGTTGACTTATCGACTAGTTACTATTGATCTACCTTCAAATGAGAATTGTAGCTCAGGTGACTATTTGGCAATCCACGAATACGGTCCATCAGGCCAACTACTCAATAAAGTTTGCGGGACTAAAGATTTCGAGTACAGATTTTCAAAAACTTGGATCAATTCTCTATTTATGGTCTTCAAGTCAGATTCAGCGACTTTCGGCAAAGGTTTCAGGATTTGGTTTCGGTACGATCAAGATGGTGAGTAACTTTTAACTCAAAATTTACAATTTCCGTATTCATAATGTTTTCAATCATTCATGTGAACCACTTAGATGCTCATGATCATGACATAATCTTGGGTGAACCAAAAACAATCAAGTCTCCTCGATATCCTGATAAATATCCTGTTGGGCGAAACATTACTTATTCACTAACTGGACCAATTGATACTCGAATTACTCTCAACTTCACTCAATATAATCTCAAATCAGCTGATAATTTATGTCTCGATAAAATCATAATTTATCATCATCCAGATCTAATGCTGAGATCTACGTTAATCCCCAAACTTGAAATGACTCCGAATCATATTAATCTTCCCTGTGATTCAAATTCCACTAACTTGGTGATTCAATCTCCAAATAATAGATTAATCGTTTATTTCGAGACTTCTTCGGGTCTGGATGCTGGCCAAGGATTTCAAGCAAAGGTCGAAAGTGATCAACCAACAGGTAAAAATAGAAAGAACCAACATCGTAACTCAATGCTAATTATTAAAACGATCGATTAAATGGTTTAGAATGTGGTGGTTTTATTGATTGGAGATCGAGGTCAATTATCTCGACCAATTTCTCACAGTCCATTCATGAGAACTCTCGGATTTCATGCGCTTGGCAAATTCTAACTGGAGTTCGTGATGGAAAATCCGCCTACAATCAGCTTGGTTTAGGTAAATTCAAACTAATTGTTTAATTTGTAATCAATATTTTACTTTTTTTGGGCAGTTTCTGGACTTTTTACACCTTGGATATCATTTGAAACAATTGAGGTCTTGGGATCAGTTGAAAATGATTCACTTTGCTCTGATGGCAGGATAACGATAGCATTTCACGAAGGTTTGTTTTCTGTTTATTATTAATACAAATCACCAAAATCTGGTACTAATTATTGTGATAGTTTGGGGTAGAGATTCGGTATTTATGGACAAATACAAGAAAATATTTTGTGGAAAAAGTTCGAATATGATAGTGGTTTCTCCCTTTTCGAGTATATTTCCAAATCTCATAAGCGCTAGTTTTAATCGGACGCACGGTTATCGTGGTTTAAAAGCGACTTACCACATGAGTCAATGTGGTTACACCATCGATGATGTTAATGGGACTATAAAAACACCGGGTTGGCCGTTCGCTAATTATCCAGTTGATACCGTTTGCCTTTGGACCATTTTCAATGAAGCATATGAAATAAATGATCAACATGTACAAATCGAGTTTGAAACATTTGAACTCGAAGTCGATTGTTCAAAAGATTATGTGGAAATTTATGAAATAAGTGATTATAAAATGACTGAAATTGGTCGTTATTGTGGTAAGAATAAGCCTCCACTTATCCGTGCTTATAGAAATCGAGTTTCAATCGTATTCAGAAGTGATGGAGATACAACGAGTAAAGGTTTTTTGTTGAAGTTCAAAATGGTAAAAAGTACTTGTGGTGAATTCAGGACTAATATTGTGAATAGATTTGTTAAAATCCCCTTTTCTTACAAGGCTAATCAATATTGTGAATCGTTATTAGAGGTTGACCCCCCGTATCGACTTAATTTGACTTTTGTCAATCGATTCGATATTGAAGATTCGGTTGATTGTTCTAAAGATTATCTCGATATCAATGAATGGAGAAACAACTCTTGGCATCATTTCGGTCGATACTGTGGATACAATTCACCAGGATCGATCATCTTCAAGGAGAATAGAGGTCAACTTATATTCCATTCAGACGGAGATGATCGTCGGGGAGATGGATTCGATTATATTGTTACAAAATATTGTCGAATGACAATTGATAAAAGAGGAAATGGAACTATCGAAAGTCCTGATTATCCAAATTACTACGGTATCAATTATTGTGAATGGACTTTTAAGGGAGAAGAACCAAATGATACGATCCATGTGCATTTTAAGCATTTCGACTTGAATATTTATGAGCCATGTGAGAACAATTATCTCGAAGTTATCAAGATAAACCGATTCACAGGAGAAGATGAGTTTCAAAGATATTGTCCTGATGATCAACTCAAAGATATATTAATAATTTCTCAAGGAAATCTAAGGATTATTTCAAATTCAAAAAAGTTTACTTCTTCATCAGGATTCACTTTCGATTATCGAATCCTTTATTCTAACAAATTACCCAGTTAACAAGTCTCAGTCATTGTACAAATTTATCCTTTATAGATTCTTTTGTCGTATTGGAATCGATGACATTCTATTGTTCGTTTATCATTTGACGTAAATAAAGTCCATTTGTTTAAAATATTGCCTTGAACTTTTCTAGAAATATTAACAGATTTACCTTAATGATTATGATTAGCTCGCAATTTATTAGACAAGTGAAATTTGTAGACAGTAAAGCGATAAAGTTGCCTCGAAAATTGAATTCTAATGCCAAGAATATCTTAATAAGAATCGTCCGAGTTGAATAATCTATCGTTATTTTAACTTGTAAACTGCTATCAAGATAAAGATAACTTGGAATGAACACTAGTTTATTGCTGATATTCGGAAATTCATAAGATTCATAACTTTGGGATTAAGATATTTTAATATTAAGTAATTAATTTGTTGATGTTTAACCGAATCGGTATTTTTGACGTTCTATTTGGCAACGATAAATTCGTTAAAATGTAGGTGAGTTTATCTGAAGGACTTGATCGACTTCTGCCCTCAACTACTATTTTCGATTAAATTTGCTTAATTTAATCAATAGTTTAACTTTTTATCGATTAAAATGAAGGCATCCTGTGATTGATCTCATTCCTTGATTCAGTCAATTAAAACTTTGCTTATGATAAACCATCATAGACTGTATAAATCGTCCATCTAGAAACCTCGGAGTTACCTGATAAATTAGAGCAAAATCAGTATTAATTATCGATATTTTAATAGTTTGCATGCTATTTAATTCTTTTATTATGATTACTAATCGAAGGTTACTGAAGCTGATGTAAATTAAGATAATTAAGATATTCATTATTCACACAAAATGAAAACAGAGTTCATGTTCGTTACTTATTAATCTCATTAAATGTAACCATTAATCATTATCATTCATTAGATCAGCATCATTAATCTAATCAAAATCAATGTAAAGAAAACATTATTTTTCAATCGTATTACTATCAACTTCGTACATTTATTAATAGATACCAATAGAGTAATTAGTGAAATCTTATTCCAGTGTAAATTAGAACAAGTCATGGCAGTGAATCAAATCAAGGGTTCAGGTTATTCAAATTTTCGTCAGTACCTAAATCATCAAATTATCGATCTCGACTATTTAAGTCCAGATGAGCCAAACAGAAATCGCTCTGGTTGGTGTTTCACTTTGGCCTTTGTCTTAGTTATTGTCAATAATGTCAAACAAGTAATCATAATGTGCCAGAGTGATTTAAATAATTTGTCTTATGTAATTGGTGATTTTACTATACCCGCTGGAAAAACAAAGAAACAATTAACTCTAATATTCTTTAGCTGGATAAGTGCCACATTCATGTGTATTTTGACATTATATCGTTCTCAGTACACTCTAAGACTACAAAAATGGATCAATATTGGAGTAGTCTTTGAACATTTATCGGCAAGGAGCCATCCGATCTCGGGGCTACCCACGATTCTACATCGACTTTTCATACGATTCAATCTTGGTGTCTTCTATTCTGTTAGTGTCTCGGCTTCCCTGCTCGTTCTTCCTTCTTTTTTCATTTATCCTCAACAGTTTTTCATATATCTCTGGCTCTGGTCACTCATCACAATCATTCTCGCTTTCGTGATTATTGCTTATGCCGCTAACTTCGGGACGCTTTACGCTTTCCAAGTTTACATTTTCGCTAAGCAAATGAATGACCTAAAGAATAATCTACATGACCGTCTCAATTATACAATGAATAATCATCCAAGTAAAATATTGACATCACTCATCAACCATTCAGTCAAATCAAACATATCCATAATGAGAGAGTTGATTGACGGTCACCATTTTTGGATCCATTTCAATCAATCAATTTTCTTAGCTACATTCATTGCTCAATCCATAATAATTTATCTAATTTTTTTCATCGATATTCCCCAATTTCTGAGATTAGCGATGATTCTTTTAGGCTTTATCAATTGGATCGGTGGATTGTCTGTGCATTTTTTTCTTGGGACTTATGGTCAAAGGAAGGTAAATGCGCTGCATGAATTATACTTATTCATATTTATATTATGAGGTTAATTTTTACTATTCTAACTTTCAAGATTGAACAAAACTGTAGTCAACTACGAAAAGCCTTTTTCTTGAAAGCATCTAATCGAGTTAAGCTCCAATTAATTAGCTACTTTGAACATATCGGAAATCGTTATTTCTTCTGTATATTTGGATCATTAAACTATTCCATTCATCATTTTCTTCTCGTGAGTATATTAATAGTGGAACCTATTATCTTATTTTAATCTCTCTGATTTTTCTAGATTTAAATCTAGAATTCAGTACAGCATTTACACTTACTCATGAATTTATCAATAAATAAATTCATTTTTCTTACAAAGGCTGTTAAGAGACTCTAAGGGGAAAAAATTTAGTCTGTTGAGAGCATTTGTGTCCAATGAATACAGTTTTCGCAATTCCAAGCTTTAAACGCTTAAATGGAAGTAGCAAAAAGATTATATCATGAGCCTCATGTGTTGATTTGCTTGACTAAATTGATTGTCTTCTTAAATTTACAGGTTGTTTTAGAAAATACGACAATCCTTCTTCTTTTGATAACAACATTAGGCAAATGAAGGTGAGAACAATTTTCCTTAAATTTTTACTCATTCATGAAAATGGGCCAGGGCTTAGGACTATCGAAGGACTATCGATCGACTGCACAAAATTTCACTCTCATTGATCTCCGAATTTGTCATGTAATCTATTCTGTTTTTAACAATTAAAAATTATTAACTGAAGAAAATCTAGTTTAAAGATGATGAAAAGATGATCCGACGAAACAAGAATGATTTGATTTTTTCGTAGATTATAAGGTATGACTGGTAATGTTTTGGACTAATTTTTTGAAATTGATTAGCGACTGACTGGCTAGACTTATTGACTCCATTTAAACGTTGAAATTAAGATGAACTCTCTGGCTATGACTAACTGGTCATAGTCTAGACTAAAGGGTAGCTAATAAATAGTGGAACTCATGATTTAATTGTTTTATCTTGAGAGACAATTGATCAATTTTGATAATTCTATTTGCTCAGTTAGATTACACTATAAACACCATCTCTGTTAACTTTGGACAGTTTATCTCGAGCATTACTCATCAAGTGGTGGTCACAATCGACTAAAATTTAAACAAAATGTGCCTAAATCAAAAAGGTTTTTTGACTCTAGCGCTTTTTGTTACGAGCAAATTAATGAAAGTTGGATGAAAAGGATTCCGCATCAAAACCGATATATCTCCGCAACTAAAAATGTCAAAAAATGGTGAAATGTCATGTATTTCCTTTTCCAATATTCAAGAAAACATTCGTCAATAAAGTCAAAGGAAAGAGTTTTTATCAATTTGACATTTCAATGATATGATAATTATTATTATGATTAATCAAAGCTAGTTGTTTCTTTAACCTTTGCATAATAGTTTTTTGACGGTTAAAGCTCAAATAAATAAATCTCATCAACACTTAATTAACCCATTAATTGATTGTTAAGTTTTTGATCATAACAAACCTTTAAATGAATAACTTTAAATTACGTGAAAAAATATCTAAAACAAAAAAGAGAAAGTTTCTTTGAAAAGTAAAAAAGTTTCATCAAAAAATAAAACAAAGTGTTCATTAACCGATGAACAACTTGTCGAAAAGTTTGGTTGTAAACCATTAAGTGTTCATTTGGTTGATATTTTTGATTTGCAATCGTCAAAATCATCATTAGTTTTTGACGATGCTACTATGCAAGAAATGATGGTGCAACCATCGAAACCTTCGAATGGAAAAAATCAACAATTATTTCCCCCTGGTAGTTCCCTCATTAAACCACCATTAGTGCTTTCATGAAGTTCTACTTTCCAACTTTAGGAACAGAAAGAATCCAACAATCACCACATGTGCTGGTGCTACAAATTTCCCGAAGCTCTGTTTGGAAAATTCTGCATGAGAAGTTAAGATTCAAAGCATACAAAATTCAACAATTTCAACTGCTTAAACCCTTTGATAAGGAACGTAGACTTGCCTTCTCTCGTATAATGGCAGAAAAGATCGAACTTGGGCAGATAGATCCACAAAGAATATGGTTTACTGACGAAGCGCACTTTTATTTGCATGGCTATGTGAACAAACAAAACCACCGAATTTGGGGAATAGAGAACCCTCATGCCTTTGTAGAGACTCCTACTAACTGTTTGGATGGGAATATCGGGAAAAGGAATTGTAGGCCCTTATTTCTTCGAAGACACTATCAATGGTGATCGATACAATGAGATGCTTTCCCATACCATACCATACACTTTCCAGAGCTACGACAACGAAGTTTTCTGTATGATTTTCATTGGCAACAAGATGGCGCATTGCCACACCGCAAAGGGAACGTCAAAACAACCATTAGAAACCATTTCCGGGACAGAATAATCGGTTTAGGCTACGCCACAGAAGATGGAAGAGAAATAGAGTGGCCACCCTACTCTCCAGATCTCAATCCATGTGACTTTGCTCTCTGGGGTATGATGAAGGACTATGTATATCAAAAAAGTCCATCAAACCTCAATGAACTCAAAAATGCTATAAGAGAGTTCACCACTACATTAAATCATGATACCTTAAAAGCCATTATGGAAAACTTCACTGAACGTCTCCAAATGCTAGAACAGCTTGAAGGCAGTCACTTTGAAAACACACTGTAACTTTAAGTGCAACCTTAAGCTTTGCAATAAAATTTTTTTTTAAAAAATAGCAAGTAGTTGGCGCACAATTCAAATTCAAACGCTCGGAGTCCATTAAAAAATACCCTGTAGTGGTTGATCCAGTTAGTCGAATCAATCAAACCAATGGTTCAGACCATTAAATTCTGGAAAACTAAGTTGGAAATGCATCGTTCTTAATTGAAAAAAAAGCATTCACAGTCCAATCAATTTGACTATTCGGGTAATTGAAAATTCAAAGATTCAAATTAATATTCATTGAAAAAATGCTCATATTAAACTTGAATGGAAAATAAATAGATTAATTAGATTACGACATCTTTGTTTGTATTGGAATCAATAGATTTAATCTCTGGAG